TAAATAACAACATAAATACAAGTAGTTTATTGCACAAAAATACCCCCAGTCCACCTCCATCCTCACACAAACCAAAATACTTAAAGCCAAATCAGCTTTGCAATTCCAACTAGATAAGCCCCTGAACTGAAACAAGGGCCCAGCCAAGCCCCAAAGCATGCCATGCAGGAAGAGCAAGGGAGGCAGATTCAGTGGAAATATCTCCACACACCACGCAACCACGTGTACGCAGTGCGACACATGGAGGCTTAGCTTAGGGCAGGCAGCAGCCACCAGGACTCATAACTTTCCTGGGGTCATTTTAAAAATTACCCCTCTTCCCCCATGCACTTGGGACTTCTCTGCCTCCACCACCCACAGCTGCCATTCTGTGGTTGGTTTCATATCCCAAGGCAGCAATTTTGTTGCACCCCCCCCCATCAGAATTCCAAAGATGCCCATAGGCACATGCTGTATTTTATTTACATGAGAGTACATTGGAGGAACCCCCCCCACCGCCCCCACATGAGGGATGTACTAAAAGGAAGGACAGGATTGCCCATTGGAAACAATGGGAGAGACTTGAAGGCCCATTGGCAATAATGGAAGCCAAGAGTGCCAATTAACTTGGATGGGCTCCATTGAAATACATTACAGCTCAAGAAGAGTTGCAAAGAAAATGCGGAATGGATTTTCCATTAAGGTCTCTGGTCCCAAATACACTGCTCTGGGACTGGAATGACAGGCCCCAAAGTGGAATGACAGCCCAGGACGGTACGAGATGTGTCCTGGGACTGGAATGACAGCCCCTTGGGGTTACAGGATTGTTCTGGGACTTGAATGACAGGCCCCAGTGTGGAATGACAGCCCCTGGGGTTAGCAGGAGTATTCCAGGACTGGAATAACCGGCTCCAGAATGGATTGACAGCCTGGGGGGGGGTAGGAGATGTGTTCTGGGATTGTAATGATAGGCCTGTCATTCCACTGCCAGAACACTCCTGCTACCCCCAGGGGCTGTCATTTCACCCTGGGGCCTGTCATTCCAGTCCCAGGACACTCCTCCTACTCCAAGGGATTGTCATTCCACCATAGGGCCTGTCATTCCACCCTCAGAACACATCTGCTACCCTCAGGGCTGTCATTCCACTCTGGGACCTGTCATTCCAGTCCTAGAGCAGTGTATTTGGGATCAGAGACCTTAATGGAAAATCCATTCCTCATTTTCTTTGGAACTCTTCTTGAGCTGTAATGTATTTCAGTGGAGCCCATGCAAGTCACTGGCTCCCATTATTCCAATGGGCCTTCAAGTCTCTCCCATTGTTTCCAATGGGCAATCCTGTCCTTCCTTTTAGTACATCCCCCACATGAGCCCCTCTGGTCTCTACCTGAACTTGGAGTCTTGCAGGCTGCACAATGGTGGAGGGGGGAATGGATGCTGGAAATGCAGCAGCACAAAAAATGACAACAACAAACCCCAGCCAGCCAGCCCTGCCCCACAGAAGATGACCAAGCTCAGCAGAGGAGACTTCCTCTGTGACTGCTGAGCTGCTGAGGGTAGAGATGCCGGGGTCCGATCCTATGACAGAGGAAGAGAAGGAGGAGGAGGAGCTATGGCCTGGGGCTGTGCAGGAGGAAAAGCAGAAGGCTCAGATCCTCATGCTCTGCTGCTGCTGCAGTTTGCCTGGAGTTGGAGGAAGTGGTGGGGTGGCTGGCAATGTTCCCTCTAAGTCTTGTGAGCAAAAATTCTACCTTGTGAGCTTCTGGCATTAAAGTTGTGAGCAAGCAATTTGGCTGCTGCATAAATCAGTTTGCTCTGGAGCCCTCCCTTCCTGAGCTAAGACAAAAATGGGTGAGCCAGAGGCTCAAAAACTGTGAGCTAGCTCACACTAACTCTGCTTAGAGGGAACACTTTGGCGGGCTCTTTGCTTAGAGCCCACCCAGTATTTCAAATAAGGCAGCCAATGCTGAGCCTGAGGTCGGTCAGGGCGGGAACTGGATCCGCTCCTCTTTCTGTTTCCCCCAACAAGTCCTGCTGCTCCTCTTTTGAGTCAGCCAGCAGAGTGCCAACAAGACGATTGATCGGGGGGTGAGGGGGCCGGGGGGAAGG